GTGGCAGGTGTCAGCAATGAATAATGCCACGTGGAAAGAAAAGTGCCTTTTTTCTCCTCGGGTTTTTCTTCCTCTGAAAGCACGGACGCGTACAAGTGCTGTCTGTGTAGTAATCTTACAACAACGAGGGGGGGAAAAAAGGCAAGATAGAAAGCGCACCTGACATCTGTCTTCTCATTAACTGAAACTTCTTGTTACCCAGTTCCCTACAGACTTTCAGAGAAAAAGAAGTATTTGAAAACCTCCCTGGCCACATCTGAGGTACATATGTTAACTCTCCCAAGTCCTCCCCTTCACCAAATTGCATCTTTACAGGCATCTGGCAGGAGCCAGGCCCGTTCCTAGAGGCCACCTCCCACCTTTCCAAAGGGAAAATCGCATTAATACGAGCCATGTGGAAGCCATCTGTTTTTAAGAAACGCAGAGAGCCATGCCACAGGAGCAGAGGGAAGCACAGTAATTAGTTTAGCCCAGCTCAGAAACCCAGAGCCTGATAAATGAAGAAGCCACAGGTCCCAGCAAGAGGAGTTCTGCATAATACAGGTGCAGGTGCTTTTTTCTCACCACAGAACAGGTGCAGTTTTATTTATAAATACTCCTGCCCACCTTCTTGTGGAAAAAGACAGGTCAAGCAAAGTTAACTGAAACACAGGGGGGGTGCACAACTTTACTCACTTTTTGGTGGTTCGTTTGGATTCTGGTAGATCTGATAGCAGACAAGTCTCACTTACGAGCCTTTTTTCTGACATGCTCAGCTTCTCCGTATGGTCACTTCTGGGTCAAAATTTTCCATCTATGCTCTTGCACCAAAGATACGTTTTACCTCAGACCAAGACACCTTTTCTAAATTTGTCCATGTCAGTTTTCAGATATCACCTCCCCTGGATACAGGCCTGTATAAGAAAGAGCAACAAGAATAACTTGAGACACAGCATTCATTTGTTAGCCACACTTCAGTAGAAATTGTCACTTTATACTAGTTGGCCACTAAAATTCAGCCGTCTCTGCCAATCAGGCTTTGTAATCTTGGTGCTTAATTCTGCCATGTTTTGTGTGAAGTCCATCCAGAGAAGCCTGCAGCCAACTTCTGCATGGTTAAAATTCCAGATAACTTTTGCCAATGTGACTTACAGAAATCCAGGCCTTCAATGTGTCCCTGACCCTGACGGTTTCCATCTAACTCCCCTCACAGTGTAGTGCCCTCATTTTTTTGAAGTCTGCCCTTTCAAAATTCAGAGCCTTAACAACAGACCAACTTCCACTTGGACTGTCATGGACTTTAATGGAAATGACGTGTTGTCTCTCAATCCAAGGTTAATTTCTAAAAGCAGAAAAGAAATAGCACCTACAGTCATTTGAACCTCTTCCAGGTCTTGCTGAAAACATCATCCACTTCTGGTGAAGCTGGAGATGACCTTCAGAGTTAGTTCATCCAGTCATCAGGAACTGCTCCAGCCAAACCACACCGGTTTGCTGTAAGCATGAGTGGAATCACCGCTACCAATAGATAATCAGTGACCACCGCAGGTTCGTTTTTATCCACCACTTTCTTTGCTTCTGAATGAGAAATGAGGAGAAAAGAAAGCCGTAGGACAGACTGCTGGTGGATGGTGTGTTATCTGAGATAGCCCGTGCCCTGGTACAGCTCTCCTGTCCTCCTCTCCACTCCTCACCCAGCGTAGCAAGGACGCACAAAGACACAACTATTTTGCCTCACTTCATCCAGGCATCTGCCCAGCTTATTACCTGAAAAATCCTAGTTCAGCATGTCCAGGGCCAACTGGAGGCACAGGACACACAAAAAGAGACTGAGACTACAAGGCTAGTTCCCATTTATTTTCAAATTCTCAATTATTCCTCTGCTAGCCTCTGCCTCGCAGTGAGGTTGGGAGTCTAGCTCCCCACTCAGCCCAGACTTTAAGCCTGGGGTGATGGTTTGCCAGCCCCTTCCCAAACTGCCACAGTTCTTTAACGCCTGCTTCCCTAGTTAGTTTTCTGGTAATTCAAAATGTCACGCGGTAAAAAGAGGATAGTCTGTAAAAGTAACAGTCCATAAAACAAATCTTCTTTTAAAGAGCTTGCAATCTAGATAGAAAACCTCAGCGACACGCAGGTGGCTGAATGGGACTAAAAATAGCTCTCACGCCACCATGTACAGACCAAAGGGGCTGTACGCAGACGTATAGATTTAGCAACTGAAATTCAGATACGCTGAGCACCGGCAGTCAGGGAACACCACCGAAATCGACAGATTCACACAGAATATAATTCTGCTCAGTCTCCCTCCCTTTGGGTTTGACAATACTTGTGAATGCCCCTGCTTGGATTTTACCAGTGCCGTGTTTTTATCAGTGCAGTTTGGCAAAAGAGACCAGAACCAGCCGCTTTTGCACGTGCTTTATTCTGCTGCCTGCATCCCCCTTTCTTGAGTATTTCTAAAAAATCTCCTATTTTGTTACAAAACGGTGACTGAAGCAAATAGTGCTTTAGATAGACACCCTTACCACCCCATGGTTAGCCAGGTTTATTTTTAACCTTCTGCAAAAGATGGGGCACAGAGAACATCTTGCTGCTACTTCAGAAGAAAGCTCTGGGGAAGGGCAAGTGAAAAAAACCAAATTTTGCCCTCCTCAAGATGGAGCCCTAGTGAGAAAACAAGGTTTGTAAAGAAGAATTACGGCAGAACCTGATGCCCTGCTAGGAGCTGGGCTTGCACTCATCACCCCCCTCACTTCCCAGGGGAAACCTTGCGTGTGAGCACTGCTGATGCAACACCAAAGCTCGTTGCATCATGCAACTGCCAGATGAGATGTTTGTGCTGGGAGAAAAGCTCAGGACACAGATTCTGGGGTCTTTGAACTGCTCTAGGGTTAGGGACCCAGCTAGCAAGGTCTGAAGAAAGGGAAGACATCCTGTAAGGTGCCAGCCTGCCCTTTCAGGGCCTGGCATGCCTGGCAGCATTGCCAAAGGGCTTTGGCCTCTTCAGGGCTTGGCAAGAGCAGCCAACCCCGGGTGAGCCAAGGGTTGTGTGAAAAGCCCGTGTCTGGTCACAGGGCTGCTGCTCTGCTGCGTCAGGAAAAGCTGGAGAACGCAGGGAGATTTACCACGTGCTGCTGATGTTAATTGAGAGAAACGTACGTTGCAGGTAGCAGAAATCCAGGAAACACTGATGCAATAACCCTGGCTAAGAATGGACCTGCCAGTATCGTACTTTGCTCTGCCTCTCCTTTTGTCCCCCATGTAGGCGTTTGGAGGCCCTTGCTAAGACTGGACTTCCCTTAAAAAGTGGCCTTTTCTGGGCAAGACACATAGGTATGCTACAGAGACAGCTCTGGTCATTGCAGGTTACAGCACAATGTTTGTTTTTCAGAGTTACACAAGTGATACCAAATCTGGGACAAAAACAACCCAGCTCTCCGGTACTCCCCTCCTTCAGAAAAGTCTGCTTGCCCAATACCTCAGAAAGTTTGCCTAGGACCTGACTCAAAACCTTCCATAAACCACACATCCCACAGAGTCCTTTTCCCATTCCTGAGGAAAGAAACTCCTCAATGCAGCGGGCAGAGCTGGAAGAAGAGTTCAGCTTTGCCACAGACCTGCTGTTGCTTTACCTCTTTTACCCCTCCCCGTCTCATCTTGTCTGCTTTGACTGCGTGCTCTTCGGGGGCAGGTCGAGCCCTTAGTAGAGGTTTGCACAGAGTCTCGTACAAACAGGATTCTGATCTTGAAGCCCAAAGTGTTTTTATAATATGAGTCAAGTGATCTTTAAGTTGAATTTCTCAAAACTAGGAACCCGAGCTGTGGCCCCTTGGCTATCTGGCCACTTTCTTACCCTACAGTCCTTGTCCCCAGGTGGGAGAGTGCCACTGGCCCCGGTGGCAAGAGGGCCCCCAAGGACCAGGGTGGTTTTGCACTCCCTTGCACTCAGCAGCTTCGCTGCTTGTTTGTGATGAACAGAATAAAAATGCACAGTAATAGCGCAACCCCCTGCCCCCCTCCACCTTCGAAAGCCAGAGGGCTTCGTGCATTAAACATGCCTAGTTTCGGTCCCCAGCCACATTTTCCACAGTGTCAGTGCTAGCTGGCTAGGCTGTTTATTTTAGGAAACAAATAGCTGTATCGTTTGCACACACCCTTATAGGCAGCCACGGGCTCTCCACTCGTGTTCTTCAAAAGAAGGGAAGGCAAGATGAAGAGCTCTTTGTTGCTGTGCGTGGCCTTGGCCGTCTCCTTGGCATTCGTCCTCGTGGCAGGTAGGTGAGAAATTAAGAACATGGAAAACTGTGCTTAAGATATCAGTGATGGGTTTTGTCTCATCAGCCATTAATAATTCTAACCGTCAAAAATCAAACCTCAAAGCCTGCTCAAGCAGTCATGCTTCAGTGGTGCTTGGACACCTCAGTGTCTTTCTGCACCAGAGCTGTGTGTTTTTAATTGCTGCCTTGAGACTAAAAAAAGTGATAACTAGCTGCAAATTTCAGCGTTTATGATTAGCCATTTTTGATCGGGTTTTTGAAGCAACAAACCGCAAACGTGCATGCTTGCTTTTCTGCAGCGCTAGGAAGCTTGCAAGACTCTTACCTGCTAGATTTCAAGATTTCCAAAACCTTCCTGGTAATCCTGTCCTATGGCTACAGCTAACTTATTTCTGATTAAACTGTAGTTTATCGCGTAACTCCACTGAATTTCCTGGAGACTCTTGATTTAGACTGAGATCAGACTGTCATCCCAGCACACGCCTCAGTGTGGTTCACAGGTAATAGTTACTGACTATGCTAATGGTTCCCAAGAGCATGGACAACAGCATCCCTGCATTTCCTCCAGCTTTTGGGAAAGGGCATCTTATTATTGCCTACCCAGGCAGGTCCTTGGAAAGTCCTGCTTCCTGTGAGAAGTGACCAGCTGTATAATCTATTAGCTGCGAAGGCAGAAAATATTGAGAAATACTGTTGGTTTGACACAGAGCTCAGTCTGGTTTTCCCCATTCATATGCATGGCTTAAGATACAGATAGATAGATACGTATACAAACACATAAGCAGCTTAGAGAGGAAGTCAAATTAGAGTTACATGCAGCTACAGGGGTGCTGTTTGTACTACTTTAGTTGAAATTAATGTATTCTTGGGCTAACTGAGCGTCTTCCTACTTGAATATAAAGTAGCTACTTGGATCTGCAGCAGAGTTTGACCAGGTATTTTTGGAATGCATTTGCTTCTTCACTATGCTGCAGCTGGATTTTGTTGGGCTTCACAGGGTACTACAGGACAAGTCAATATTGGCAAATGAGAAATTTTGTCGAAAAAATACCTGCATGAGTGTGGAGGAGGGAGGGAACACCATATTGCAGTAAGTCATGCACCAGAAAATCCAGCCTGCAAACATTTAGAAGGGCATTAGGAAATTTTGTATTTAACAATTTTTTCCCAAAGGGACTTTACTGGGTGATACATGGGAGTATTGCTGATAAAACTATCTTTTTTGGAGCTTTGTCATTTTACTTTAAAAAAATTATATGGAGTACCTGTAACTTTTATGGTTACTGAAGCCAAGAGTATTGCACAAGGAATTAGAACAATATTTTTAGAGTACAGTCAAAACTCCCTGCATATTCATAAGAGTATGTTAATGTAATTTTAGAAGATGAATTAAAGCCTGCTCCCAAAGGTTTTGGGACAACTCCCAAAGCCAATAGTATCTGACTCGAATATTGGCTTTGGATTCAGGGCTTAGAAAGAGTTGCATGTGACATTACATAGAACACTGTGAGAGGTAGAGGAAGGTCTATGTGAAGGACAAGAAGCTAGAGATTTTCTATAAGACAAAAGAAAGGCCAAGACTCAAGGAGACGGCAGCTAAAGAAGCTTTTTATAAGCTTCTCCTTCAGAGGGAAATGTTCACGTTGAGTGATGAGTTGGCAGAGAGGAAGCATGCAGAGCAACAGAGATTGGGATAAGGGGTACAGAGAGGCAAGCACCATTGAACTCTAAATAATGACCATCTCCGTGTGCCATCTGAGCCCCAATATAAACTATCCCTGTCTTACAAAAATCACTGGTTTTAGTACTTCTAAGCAGGCTGAAGGTGCTGTAGGAAGAGTGATGCGGCAAAGTGACGGCTGTGAACTTGATTTCAGCAGCATTTAGAAATAGAGATGTGAAAACAACCACTTCAGAAGGGTATGACTGTGTGTGCATGTAAAAACAAGGCTGGCTTGTTACGAGTGAAGAGACCAGAGGCTCTGGGTTGGGGAAAACCAACTCGCCAAGAACAAGCTATTTCAAATACATCTACGTGGCACAGTAAGAAGGCATTGTGTGCCACCAGGAACATTCAAAAAGCCACTGGGTGATAGATGGGATGTTTTAGCCCGTTTTGACTGAGTTTCATACCAAATAGCATGCTAAAAGTGCAGAAGACATGCCCAAGCTGGTTCTTCTCTATTTGAGTAAGAAAATCAGGACTAGAGTTTTCCCTGCAAACCACAGGCATCATAAGGACCACTTGCTCTTAACTGCCAGGTGAGCCGGCTGCCTTCTTGCTGGGCCCTGTCATGCTTTTTGGCATCTGTTCCCTCGGGGACCTGAAGGACAACATACCACTCGAGAAAAACTGCCACATCTGCCACACTGGCAAGGTCAGAGATGTTTATTTAGAGGCGAGATCCAGACTAGGGTTTGGACTGCTAGAATAGTCCCTGGTGCATGATAGAGGAATTGGGTAACCTTCCTCGTTATGGTAAAAGCAGCACTTGAGCTGCCCAGTATTGCCGGAGGCTTGCAAGGGAACTTTCTTCTCATTTCATAAGAAATCCCTGCATGTTTGCCTCTCACCGGCTACAGTGTCCGGGTTCATCGTTTTCCCCTTCCCAGCCCCATCGCCCCGCCCCCCCCCCTACAGACACATACCGTAGACTGAGCAGGGAAGACAGCTGAACTCATCTTTGCCAAGAGGCTCATTTGTACCTGCTGCAACCTGGACTTTAATCGATCCAGATGCCATTATGGTGCATTTCTGGCATTCTCATCACTTGGCTTTCTGCTAGAGCAGGCTTCAAGGCTTTTTGTCTTGACCCTGGGGTTGCATATCCTGTGCTTGCAGGTTATCCACAGGACTCGGAGGACGAGGAGTATGTGCTGGTCAATAACAAGTGTCAGTGCGTAACAGTGACCTCGAAGTTCGTCCCTTCCGAAGAAAACCCTCATGAACAAATCCTGCAGAGAAACATACGCATCCTGTAAGTGGCAGACAAGTCTTACATGGAGGTGGGGAGCAGGAGATGGAGCATTGTAGGAGTTCCCTTTTCTTTGCATTATTTCCCATGTCCTGGCATTGATGAATTGACCTGGTTTTCTCGTGGGCTGCTTTGTGGTATCCTGGAATATTTCCTTTTGCTTTGTGTTTTTCTAGCTGACATGAACCTAGCTGGTGTTTGTCCCTTCAGATACAAAAAGCATCTGTTTTAAGCAGTCCGGTAGTAACTTTACAAAATAGGCTGGGGAAGTAGAGTGTAACATTTCTACAGTTGATCTAATCCAAAACCAAACTGGGCTCCTGACACTGGGCTTTCTTACTGATCTGATAGCAAGGCCTGCTATTTTATAGGCTGGGAAAACTAGTTAATGCCTAAACTATCAGAAAAGGTTAATGCCATGAGGCAGATCTCAGTTCAAGACTGGGATTTTTGTCCTCTATTCACACAAACCTTACAGAAGTGTGTGTGTGTCTCGGGAACACGGACCAAGTTCAGGCTCAGAGCTGCAGGAGTTCTGGTAGATCTCACAAGAGGAGAAATACCAAACATCTCTATGTCCTGCAAGTCTCTCAAGCACCTGCCAGCTCAGAGTTTAAAAAAAAAAAGAGGATTATCAGCATTGTCACCTTGAAAGTGGCACTTTCAGAAATTGCTGCAGTCCTCTCAGGGAGGGTTGTTGCCTTTGAGGGCAGAGAAGGGCCAAGGTCTGCTGTTCCTGGGCTTTGCTATGGAGAAGGGTTGGAATGGAAATAACCTGAAGACGTCCCCTGTTTAATAAGCAGTTTTCATGAGAGCAATTCTCTTCCCTCCTTTGCAGAGTCCCTCTGAAAGCTCGAGAGAACATCTCTGATCCCATGTCCCCACTCAGAACCACTTTTGTCTACCGCATGACTGAACTGTAAGTAATTTTATTTACTAAGTTCATTTCTTAAGACTTAACCTGCCCTGCAGCATTGCCCACAGCAGCTCAAACACATGCTCAAAGGCCAGTAGAGAAGGTGAGGCCGGGTCACAGGGGAAAGTCTTCCCCACAGAGCCTAGCTTTCATATTCTGTTGCAAGCCAAGAAAGTGTTATCTCCATGATTAATTCACATAAAAAGTTCTCACGCTTACAGGGAATGTTTCATTCTGACCCCTGTTCATCTCAAATGTCTTAAACATCAGCAAATTACACGTTGCCTGTTTAACCCTCCCTTTTAGGGACCAGTCTGGCCAATAGCAGTTTGACAACACTAAAAGCATCTGGCTGGGAGTTCCTATGTACAACCTAGGAAGGCCGCAGTACCATCCTAGCTATAGCTGCAGATCGGCAAGGAAGACCAATGTTTCACCAAGGACATCTTTTCATCATAACTGTTAACACTTGTTCTATTCTCCATCCCTTCCAGCTGCAAAAAATGTGATCCTGTAGAAATTGAGCTGGGTGGTGAGATATACCAGGCCCAGCAGAGCACCTCCTGCAACGAACCCGAAACCTGCTATACCTACAACAGGGACAAGTGCTACACCACAACCTTCCCGTTCCTCCACCGCGGGGAGATGAAACAAGTTCAAGCAGTTCTGACGCCAGCATCCTGCTACGCTGATTAGCTCAATCCACTGCTGTACTAACGCCCTGTTGCACTCAGTGTTCCTATCAAAAATACATGTATAGCACCGTAGTACCCGGAGAACAGCATCCAAAACAGCAGCTCCCAGCATAATGCCAACTTGCATCTTCATATTTCAACATCAGACTAGTGCCATCTCCCAAGAACAGCTACTGGTTGTCATAGACTCTGTTCTCATATCCCCAGCACATTTCTGCAATGCCATTATTGTCAGTCTCGGACATGATCACCCTATAGACCAGATTCTCAGCAGATGTAAATTAGTAATTTCCTTGACTTCAAGGGAACTACACCAATTTACAACACTGAGGAACCTGTCTTTTTGACAGTCTTCATCTCAGCAAGGCTGCCACAGACATCAGAAGGAATGTCCATGTACTTCCCTCCCTGAGCAATCTTAAGCAAACCGCTGAGCAACCTTTATACAAGACCCTTTGATTACATTAGCAGAATTTGTGCCGTTATTAGAAGGCTGTTGTGCAATTGTATGTGAGAAACAAAGATAAGGGATGAGACAGAATTCAGATTTCAAAGTTACTTTACTATTAGGCATTCTAGACCCTTCTAGCCCTTTGAAATTGCAAGCTTCTAGTTTTCACATACATTTAGAGAAGATCAAAAGATACCACTACCCTGAAGTGTTTTGCAAAGTTGCCAGGACCTCAGTTGTGCCAGAAATAGTAAACTCTTCTAAGGTGTGTTAGGTATTTCACTTTCCACGCTTATTTACTGATATTGCTGCCTTCTTCCACCCCTGCTCCCAGTTCAATTGATTAAAATATCAAATTGGCTCAAATTTCTTCTCTTATTCTTCATTTTACATTTAAAGCTTCCAGAAATTCTGTGAAGGTGACTGAGTTGCTAAAGCAGGACCCTAGTTAGGGATTCATCCCTTCTTTCACACCAGTAGTGTTTTTCTTCATACAAGAAACCCTCAATCAAATAAAGGAGCTGATTCCGCAGTGCACCTTACATTTAAATGTCTTACACTCATTTTACATACATACATTCACAGTATTGCCCATAGAGACATCACGTAGGTGAGTGCATCAGATGTCCAGCATTACATTTGGGATGGATGGTATGTTTCTCACTGTTGTCAGCAGTTGATCGTAAAGCCTTCGGCTGTCCTGAAAAGTCCTTATCTGGGTTCATACATAATTGCAATAATAAAACAGCAGAAACCTTATTCCTATAATTGTAGCTTTGTTAGTGAAACATCAAATAAAATTTTTTCTGCAGCAGTCTGTGTGTTATATTCCAGTTCAATAAGAACTCATAAGAAAAAGCCAAGTCTATAATCATTCTTTCCTCCTTCACAGTGAAGCAGCTCTCCCTAAATAACTGCTTGTACTTACAGGCAAAGCCACCTGAAATACTGGGATAGAAATGCTGTGATGCACTTGCAGAAACTATGACACATTGAGGCTGAACTGGTTTATGATTTTAGCATCTGCTCTGCATCACTGAGCTGCTTCAAGGCGCTGTGAGTCTGTGCAGGATCAGAATTTAAAAATCCAATCATCACCTAAATCACTCTTGAAATTGCCATCTGCGGATCAGAGTTTTACCTCACCACTGAAAAAAGTGCCTTTAAGGCAGGTATGTCAGGAGCGAGTCATTCATGTGCAAGGTGCCAGTCCTAAAGAAAAAAACAGTCTTGTGGGTGCTGAATTTTGAAGAGCAAAAGAGTAAAGAGGACCGAGACAAATTATTCTAGTGTTATGTCAGGCTTATGGAAAATGAACTCAGAAAAATACAAATTTTCCCTCCTTCATGCAAAAAGATAGCCATTTCAAAGAAATGCAAAATGCAAAGAGAGGCAAAGAGACCCCTGCCACGTACTGACAAGGCTGTAAGTATTTCAGTGGTTAGGGACTAAGCTCACTGAAATTTGTCTCAAAGACATTTTCATCTTCAAAGTCCCACTGTTCACCAACCTAGGAGTGCTTTGATGTTAGAAGTTAGGTCATGGTGACGCTGCATTTTGTCTCCCAACACAGCTTTTCAGGTTACAGCCACAGGAACCTGGGGCTCTACCTCTACTCTGGAACGGTGCGCCTAAACGTGAAGTTTCCACATTTGTTTGTACATCCTGTTGTAGAGACAACAGAAGATTCACATTTACTCACAACAGGACTGGCATGACATCACCCTGCAGCACATCTTGGGAGCCCAGCAATGCCAGCACAGAAGACTACTCATGAGAGGCATTCAGGAAAAAGGAAAGCAAAGCACAGACTGTTTTCTGAGCAGCTGTGAACAAGCACTTGCTTAGATCATCTTGGGCAGAGCAAACAGCCACTGGGGAACAAGAAAAAAGTGTTCAAACTCCCATGTGCTATTCAGCTTATTATAAAGCAGGATTCGTTCCCTCCATCTTTTCTGAGAGGGAGAAGCCTGCACTGACAGCCCTGCCCAGCCCTTGGTACTGGATTGCGTTAGCTGGGTTTTAAATAACTCAAAGCAGCACAGCAAGTTAAATGAGGCTCTGAATCCTTACCTGAAAGACCAGGACAGTAAAATAGGAGCAAGTGAGGTCTGCTTATCCCTGAGGGCATACTGGGGAGGCTCTGGGACCTTCTGACCAGGGGAAGAGGTGCTGATGAATGAGAGAAATTCCCCTTGCTAGGAGTTGTCTTAGATGCACCGACAAAACTATGTCCTGCTTTGAAAAATGATGTTTCTCAGACTGTGCAAGCACTACTTCAAAGTGGGATTTTTTTGTGGCTCCCGATGTTGGGGGTAAGATCACCTTCCTCGGTGTGAACTCCTCTGTTTTGTTCTCTAGGTGACTATGGTGGGACAAGGCTTCCTGCTTGGACTTGCGATACTTTCCTACCGGCTCCATCTTTTTCTTTACAGGTCAGGTTTGTTCTTTAGCTGCATTTAATGTTTCTTGAATAATTCATCTTAGTGCATTTAAACTAAATTCATTTTGTCTGACTTGTAGGAATACATTTCTATTTTATCTCCACAGACTACTTCTAGACATAATGCTTCCCAGGTCTGTCCTCCTTGCCTAGATACTGTTCTGTTGCTTATGCAATGTTGAGTTAAAGAGGGATTTCTTGCTAGCTTTTTTTAGAAGTCCCTTTTAAAGCATGGGAATTTATCCTCATAATCCCATTTCCAGTTTGACCAAAAAGTTTAATTAGCAGCAGAAACTGCAGCACATATCAAAGCTGAGCAAAACAAATCCTTGAGCTCAAAGGCACTGGTTTACATAGGGAATTCAGCAAAGCAAGCAGCTTATGACCGTAACCAACCAGGCAAAGCTGCAATTTAGCTCACAAATATGCCAAAGGTCTATGGGACAGCCCAGTTCCCGCACTGTAAAGGCTTCAGCTGTCTTTATTAAGTATTTTTTGTATTCTAATAGATAACAGGCTATGACTTTTAGTGGCCTCACTATATTAAGTCTGCTTTGTCAGCACAAGGTTTGTCCTTGGTGGGATCTTTCTGCAGAGGAGTACTGCTTTGTACACACTCAGGTGGAAAGTTTAATTTTTTCAGTAGCTATATAGATTGCAGCCAGTGATGCCTTAGAGAATTCAGAGATCACTTATATTCTGTAAAGCAGTAAGCTTGGAAGTGTAAAAAACACCAGTAAGCTGGGAAGGAAGTCTGCGAGGTTCATACTTTGGGAGTCAGAGGCTGAATAAACGTTTTTCTATTTCAAAATCAGATTTCTGAACATGGAAAAAACCTAGCTACCGAGTTGGAAAAATGCAAATTTTCAGTTAAGCCAGAACTGGCCCAACTTCAACCTCTTACCTAAAATCCTCCAGAAAATATTTTCCCTAAAACTCTCCTCCAATTTTGGCCTCAGTCATGTATGGCATTTGATTATGTATTCAATGATTAGAAGAAAATACAGCAAGAAAAGCAGGTAACGGAAAAGGCAGGGACTGGAAGGTCGCTGCCCCACGGTTCAGCTTCTTCTAGTTGTTGACACCTCCACCAGCCCCCCCACTCTCCTACATCAGTGCCACAGACACGCTCAGGGCTGAGGACTTCTTGGAAGTCCAACTGTAACATGACAAACCACATCTGGAGATGGGTCAGACATGATGTCCTTCACCTAATCCAAAGCTCACACAGTGTTTAACCATGTTTTTCTGTTGGTTTCACTGGCTTTGGGTATAAGCAAAGCTGCTGAGAATCCTCTAGAGTTTGACCAGCAAAAAGACGCTATGGTTGAGCCCTGATAATCTCGGGTGTCATTTGCCTATTTTACTGCTCTGCTGCATGCAAGAAGTAATCATTATTGAACATTTCCTTTTCCAGCTGCACTCTGGATCCTTAAGATACAATTATACTGAAGTATCAAGTGCTCCCTGGAAGAAACAGCCTCCTTTCTCATCTCCAGTGGGCATCCTCCCCGATAAACCATGCAAAATAATTAGGCTTTTGCAAACGTAAAGGTGGGCTTTCTTACCTTAACCTGGCAGGGCAGGCTCCTTCGGTGATGAGAGCTCCTGACAGCTAACTGGGGAGGTGAAATCTCCCGGCTCTCTGACTGCTCTGCTTCCACATTGTTGAATTTCACAGCATGGAACGGTGAAGAAACAGCAGCCTCCCATTCACCGCTGGTGTTGAGCAAGCTCATGAGGGTATCTTCATCAATATTGCAGTTCCCTCCTCCCTGAAGCAACAACCCCAAGACAGTCTCAGAGTGGGGAAGAAAGCAACATCTCATTACTAGTATTTTCTTGCATACATTCCCCCCCGCTCAAATCTATAGTACAATTAAACTCAGCATTGCAGTTTCAGCTGATCTACAAGTATGCTTGTGTTAGCATCATCACAGCGATAAGGCAAGCACAAAGTCATTTTGGAACCAACACATGAGTTGGCGTATTAATTTCAGATAAAAGGGCACTGCTCCAAGGTGAGGCAGTTAAATAGTAATTTGGACATGGATGGCTTCTCTGGGAAAAAAACCCAAAACTTTATGAAGCAAACTTTACTTAGCAG